ATGTAAATAAATATAGCAATGGGGCGCAATGGTTCCTCAAGAAAAATAGAAACATTCAAATAGTACATACTGTATGATCCGCAGGTATGCATTTCTCGTCTCCAGCTTGACAGCTCCTCGGTCCTTCGCCGCACTTTGCATGAAACCAAGTAACACGATATTCGGTGACATTCGACCCAAACCACAAGTCTGAAATGTCTTCATTAAACGCACACCCCAGGATAAAAACTGTGTAAGAGTGCGAAATAATGAAGGTGAAGATGAGGAGTCGGCTGAAAGTGAGGAAGAAAGCAAAGAAACTATCGATCGAGAACATTAAAATCATGGGCAAAAATTTCTGTAAGGTCGGCCATGGTACGACGGAGAGACACAGCGCACAGAGAAGCGAGAATACTTGAAAGAGCACGCTGCACGATAGGACGCAGGTGAGCAGGTTCTGCATTGTGGGCGATTGAAGTGTACAACTGAATGCCGCTAATCGCGAGCATTTCTAAGGCCCGGCGCCCTCGTAGCCCATTTTCGAGCCACGTGGATGGCGCATTGGTGACCTTCGCACAGCTTTATCCTATCCACTGAACAGATTACTGGTGTAATCCCGAGAACGTGAAAAAGATGAGACCAAAAATAAAAAAATGATCCGAGTGAGAATTTCAAGATGTTACCTGGTAGAGCATCATGCAACCGTCCTCCAGTGACGGAGCAACGACCACTTTACAGATGCCTTTCACATGTTGCCTTCGTATCGCTGCCTGCGACATTTCCTCGATTTTGCGAGCCGTTGCCAACCGTTTGCTAAGCTCGTCAGTACTCTAAACTGTTGAAACTTAAAGGCTGCGTCAACCGTAGTCAACCACCCGTTGGTATTTTACCAACGATGGGGGTGAGGCGCTCTTTGAATGGTGAGACATTGTAATTGTAGAGTTTGTCGTTCACAGCCAATTCACCCCTAACTCGCGGGTGGCCTACTGGGATGTGTTTGTTATATGGTGCCGGAATCAGATACAATAGAAACATTGGAATCAGATACAACAGAAACAGTCATGGTGGTGGTGGAGTGGGAGTCTGTTGTACGTGGCACATTCCTTCATCTACATATGTTAGCCAATGTCACAGTGTACCCCGTCCATCAGCAAAGTTGGTGAGCCGCGCAAATGGGTGCGAGCCTACCATGTCAAACGTCTGAAGTGTGGATATTGTCCACATATAGGAGAGGGACATCAATATTCTTACGAAATAAGGATTACCCAAGTGTGGTGAGCTCCTATGGCGCACTGTTGCCTTAGATGTCCGTCAGACTTGGCGATTGTGGCGAGCAATGAGCGATCGCGGCGCTTAGCTACTAAAAGTTAAT